GCTCATTTGATAAAATTTTGTTTACTTCAAACTGATCAAATTTTAATTATACATTTATATACTCACAATTTTTATCAACTGCACATTTTATCAATTTTAATCAAAAAGTGACAAAACGGCAAATAACTCCTTAATCTTATTTTTGCCCTACTTGCAGAATTCAACGCATTAGACTTGATATGATTAAAACAATTTCATGCATCTCTCTAATTTCTATTTTTGACATTATTGGTAGTGGATAAAAACACATTTTTTATTGGTGAAAAATATAATTATATGGGACAAACTTGTTTGGGGAAATAGATTAGTTACACATTGAACAATAACGGCTAGTTTTTCAATTTTAATCCGATTTTAATCTCTACCAAACACACTCTCAATATATTTATCTTAACCTTTTGTAACATGGGCTAAGAGCCTAAAGGCCCTAAACCATACAATAATGCTATTTGTACAATTTTTTCCGAACAAGACGTTCTCTTTGCTCTCAAAAATTTGTGGGCGGGAAAAGTGTTTTCTTTTTTTATTTTTAAATTGTCCAATAATGTGCCGCCACGTGACATAATGTAAATAATGATCTAAAAGATTATATACATGTAGCATGATTGTAAACCTTCTAGCTCGATAATGATTAACTCATTTTGAAGTACATTTAGCCAATGTTTGATTTCTATTATTTCAAATACACATTTTCAAAATAAAGTATTTTGCACGTAAATTTAAATTTGGACATTTTCTAATAATTCACTATTACCTAGGTGTGAACCATGATTCTTGTCTAGCAATTTAAACTAGAATTGTAGTTCAATGTCAATTTTGGGTATAACAACGACCAAAAAAATAAATTAAATTAATTTGTGTAATCAAGCTACACCACGTATCAACACCGACTCCAACTCCTCTCGTCCAATTACGCAAAGAAACCAATAATTCACAGCCACGTGGATGATCCAACCAATCAGAATCAAATAGTCACATTAGACAACAATATCACACGGGGGATGAATCCGTAAAATGTGTAAAAATGCAGGGACTAAAAAGGAAACAAGGTCATTTACGTGATCTATTTGAATGACCAATTTAGGTTAGAACAAAACCCTTTTCGAGAGTCTTCTCTTTCTTCACCGTTTGGACTCTAAACCCAAACCCTTGATTCTGGTGGCGGCTGATTCTCTTACACCTTCTTTCTACCCCTAAAAACCCCATCCCTCTCTCAAAGAAGCGAGATCTGTCAGTTCAGAGTCTATGGCCGCCTTTGCTCCTCCAGATCGTATCCTTTTTACTTTGTTTGCTTTATTTAATCTTTCTTGCTATCTGCACGATTGAATTTGATTTGAGTTTTGCTATATGTGTGTGTATTTGCACAGTTTTGTGTTGATGTTTGTGGTGATTTTGGTGGTTTGCTTATTGTAGATCTGATTGTGTTGAACATCTGGAAATTGGGGGTGTCAAATGTTTAATCTGTTTAATGTTTATTCTTCTTTTTTTGTTGTTTTATTCTTGATTTGTTGTGTTTGGTATTATGGGGAGTTCTGTTTCTCTTGGAGATTTGAATTTGTGTTGTTTTGATAAAAAAAGTAGTTTCGGGCTTATAGAGATTTACTCCCTTTTTATTTTTTATTTTGAACACACTCATCATTGAAGATTAGGTCTGTTCGGTATTCTTATATCATCTCAGGATCATGTAACTTCTTACTGGTTTTTGTACCAACTTTGAACTCCTAGGAGTACTTTTTTTATTAAATTCTTTTTGTTCCGTCCTGGAGATTCCGACAGGTGGAGTTGAGTAACTGAGTGTGCTTTTAGTTTGGATCCAAATAGATTTATGAATTAACTAGGCGTGCTCCAGATTGAGTGGCTGGGTGTACTATTGATTGATTTGTTGACCTATTGTGTGGTTATATTAGTTCGTATTGACATGATTGTTATATCACAAATTGAATATAGTGTTTGCTATACTGGATGAATATTTGTATCCTTTACTTTTCTATAGAGGCTGCTGGCCTTCTACAGAAATTGTCTTTGGACCCACAGGCGAAAACTCTTGAAATTCCAGAGCCAACCAAAAAGGTTAATATCTATGTTTTGACAAAGATTTCTTTTTTCTTGATGATGGATGGCTGCATAACTTGCATTGATTACAGTGCACGAGTTTACGAGTCTGTAATTCATTAAATTGATATCTTCTTGCAGCCTTCATTTGATTCCGGTAACACGACTGCTGGACACATTCAATCAAGGGATGGGTCTTTGACTCCCATTCTACCGGATCTCGTTGATCAGTCTATGTGCTATCTTCCTAATGGCTACCCTTCTACTGCATACTATTATGGAGGTAAGTTTATCCTTCAGGAATTTGATATTATCAATGTTCTATGCCTTATCTAATTACAATTCAAACTTCAAGCTGGTAATATTCTTATTCTTTCGTAATTTGCTCATTCACTTGCAGGCTACGATGGGACTGGTAGTGAGTGGAAGGACTACACACCATATGTGAATTCAGAGGGAGTGGACGTGACACCAGTAAGTTCTCTTATGTACTCGATGATATGCAGATAATGATGTGTTAGTATTGATCGTGATGGAATTTCTCGTTTGTTTATATCCTCTGCATTGATGAACTGTATACATTTCCTTGTCTGTTTCCGATTCATAGCACATAAATTAATCAGACTCCACATTCTAATCTTGATTCTTATGTGCCTTCGTTGAACAAATTCAGGGAGTTTACGGGGATAATGGGTCTCTAGTGTATCACCATGGCTATGGCTATGCTCCTTACGGGCCATATTCTCCTGCTACTACACCTGTTCCAACTGTTGGACATGATGGTCAACTATATGGAGCTCAACACTACCAGTACCCTACTCCCTATTTCCAGTCAGCAACAAGTGGTCCGTATCCTACTCCTGCTGCCTCTGCCAAGGGTGACATATCGGCCTCTGCAGGTGCTGACCAAGCTCCTTTATCAGTGGCTACTGGTGATGCGAAATCTAATGGCATTGCTAATAGTGGGAGCATAAAGAAAAATAATGGCTCGAATGCGGCAAAACATACATACCCAAATTCGTCTTATGGTTTTAATGGTACATATGGACGGAGTGGCTTTCCTGGAGGAATTCCTGCTTCTGGTTATCAGGACCCAATATTTTTATTCGATGGTTCACGGTCACCAATTCCATGGTTGGATGGGTCCTTCATGTCAGATGGGCAGCCCAGGCCTGTAACTGCCTCTTCTATGACTTCCTCCATGTCAAATGGAAATGGAGTTCCCTCATCAAGGAATCAGAATTTCCGTCCTCATATTATGGTATATAATATTGTGTTACACTTTTAAAGTGTTTTTACAGTTTTTAATTAATATTATAATTGTTCCATGAGGTAATTATTGTTCTTAACACAGTGGATTATAGTTGTGACTTGTGATAAGTGTATCCTATTTTAAATTGATTGTGAGGCCTCTTCCCGTTCCATTCATGAGTTAGTTAGAGGGAGGGTAAAGTTTTGCTCTCAATCACACTAATATTTTACAACAAAAGAAATAGGAATTGGTTCTCAATCTATTTCGAGTCTTTGGAATTTTATGGTTGTTCACTATCTTAAATTTAGTTATCATCTCTGGTAACTTACTGGAATTTCAAATGTCTAACCTACAGGGTTTGCACCACCCAAGGCCAATGTCTGGTATGAATACAGCTAACGGATACATAAATAGAATGTATCCCAACAAATTATATGGCCAGTATGGAAACACATACAGATCTGGGTTTGGCTATGGATCTAATGTTTATGATTCACGAACAAACGGTCGTGGTTATATGGCTGTTGACAGCAAGTATAAACCCAGGGGAAGAGGAAATGGCTTCTATGGATATGGCAGTGAGAGCATGGATGGTTTGAATGAATTGAACAGGGGGCCAAGAACAAAAAGCAGCAAGAATCAGAAGGGTGTTACGGAAGTGGCTCCAGCTGGTAAAGTGCAAAACGCCCTACTGAATGGAGCTGCTGATATCGAGGAGAAGAAGTCGAGTGTGGCTCCTGACCGAGAACAATTTAACCAATCAGAGTTCCCTGTGACTTATACTGAGGCAAAGTTCTTTGTGATCAAGTCGTACAGCGAGGATGATGTGCACAAGAGCATCAAATACAATGTCTGGGCTAGTACACCAAATGGAAACAAGAAGCTGAATGCAGCTTACCAGGATGCTCAGCAGAAGTCTGAAGGCTGCCCTGTTTTCCTTTTCTTCTCAGTAAGCATCTGCATTGAACTTGTGGCGATCTGTTGACTTAGTATTTTTACCTTATATTTGTTTTTTCTATCATTTTCTAGGTAAATACCAGTGGGCAATTTGTCGGTGTCGCCGAGATGGTTGGGCAAGTCGATTTCGACAAGAATGTCGAGTACTGGCAGCAGGATAAGTGGATTGGTTGTTTCCCTGTTAAATGGCACATTGTGAAGGATGTACCCAACAGCTTGCTGAAGCATATCATCCTAGAAAACAATGAGAACAAACCTGTTACTAATAGCAGGGATACCCAAGAGGTACACTGTTGCTATACTGAATGATTGCTATATCTGATTATTTATTATTTGTGATTGCAAGAAATAATAAAAACAAATTGGTTTCCATATATTTAAGCTCATGACTATTCCCTTTTCAGGTTAAATTGGAGCAGGGGCTTCAAATGCTCAAAATATTGAAGGATCATTCAAGCAAACAATGTGTCTTGGATGATTTTGAGTTCTATGAGGATCGCCAGAAGAGAATTCAGGAGAAGAAAGCTAAGCAACAGCAGTTTCAGAAGCAGGTAAGTTATTCGATGTATTGTGTCAGTTTTAAGGATTTGGAGCCTCTGAGGGCTAGTCTCTCTGGAGTGCCTTTTTTGATTGTGAAAATGAGCTTGATGTGACGTGATGCTTTTTGTACAGACACAGGTGTGGGAAGGTAAGCCTGCTGAAGAGAAGATGAAGGAAGAGGCAAATGGAGATATCAAATCCAAGCCTTCAGAAGCTGTTTCTGATGTGGTCAAGGAGACTAGACCTGATGAAACTTCCAGGAATGACAACCTTTCCGAGAATACTAATGTCCCCAAAACTATACATCCTGATGTGGTTCTAGAGAAGAGCCTAGCTAATGGGGTTGCAAAATCTTGCTAGATTCAGCCATGCACAAAGGCGGTCCATGCTCTAAGGGGGTGTGCTTTTACAGGGATTGCAATGAACATAATGCGGGTTAAGATTTGATAGCGTCCTGGTGGGCAATTGGACTGCCTTGTTCAGTGTCTTACTGCATAAAAAATTGTTACTCAATATGATAAGCCTGTGATAAGAGCCTGAGAAGATATTCTCATAGTTTAGCAAGACGGGGATCAACTACTAGGATTTTACGGAGTATGAAGTTCCATTCTTCGTTTGTGATTTGTGTCTCATTTCCATTCCTTTTAGCTTCTAACAAGTTTTCTTGTGCCTAGGGGTTTGGGTTTTATTTTCTTATAAAATTTTGCTATAGCCATTTCTCTTGGTCGATTTGTTCTTTTTGTTTTCTCCATTTTTTTCTGGGAGTTACTTCATTTACTCAGCTTTCGTCCTATCTTGTAATCCTACTAGATCCACTTGTCTGTAAAAGAGCTAAAAGCAAGTTGGGTAAGCATTGCGATATGGTTAAGCCTTTTTTAAAATTATATTATATATATTGTCATATTATTGCCGTCATACAACAATAATCTTGTGGTTGGAAAGTTGAGTTCCATTTGGAAAACAAATAATTTTTAAAAATGTGGCGAAAGGTACTAACTATACAAGTCTTGCCAAGTGAACCCACCATTAACATCATAAACGTACACAGCATAACAACACTTGGAACAACACCAAAACATGTCTTATCAAGGATAGTGAAAGCAAAATTTGAACTTATTGGACATTATTTAAATTTGAATAAGCAACTAAAAATTACTGAAGTTTTTAAGCTTTTCAAACTTAAACTCGCCATACTAAAAGATAGGGACTCATTTCTTATCAATCATTATACATCTGTCGATAGAGCTGATTACGATCCCTAAATATTTACACACACATAGCCCATGCCAATAGAGGCAATGCCATCTGCTCTCCATGCAATCCTTCAGCCACAACGTCAATCTTCAATAGATCTGTAACGAGGAAAAAAAGTGAGAAATATCTTGGATTTAACCCGTTCCTGATACAATATAACATAGACCATCATCAAACACAAACAAAAGGAAAAAAGGCATAATTTTCGACCGAACCAAGATGGGCACACATTGTTAAATTCTGACACTAGAAAGGCATTTATGTAGCCATAATTTGTTTTCTTTGGAAGCTTTCTAGTTATCAAGGAGAAGATCAAATTATACCCAAAAACAGGATGGAATAAATCCTTCGCTGAAGTATGATGTGTGTTTTAAATAGATACCTCCAATATTCATACCAGGATGCTAAGTGACAAAAACAATAATTCTTATGAAAGATCTTTTTCTCAGGCACCAAACTATTATGAGGACAATCCCAGGTTTATCTGGAGTAGAAGCTATACATCAAAAACCTCTAGCTCATATCTCCTTTTTCCCAACCCTCGAGGAACTAGAAACCTACTTATCGAGTAATGAACACAAGTTGCCTACAGAATTCACTAGAATTGAAACTATGTGCAACATGAAACACAGTTTTCATACCATTGCTGGACTTTACGGAACTCAGTGAGAACCGGGTATATATTCTCAAATGCAGTATATGTCTCGTCTCTGACCTGAAAAAAATAAGTTGGGCATTATTTAATGGGAACACCTGTAAGGCACAGAGAATTAATACAATAATAAGAAAAGCTACATGTCAATACCTTTGCTCCTGTGAGAACAATCTTCCCCGAGACAAAAATAAGCAGCACAATCTTAGGTTGTTTCATCCGATATATTAATCCAGGGAACAGTTCTGGTTCATACTGTACCAACAGATGATGTCATTAGTACGTTAACAATAACGGGAACATGCAATTGAGCCAATGCTTCAGCTCTTCAATCCAAGAATATTTTATTATTTTCAATGCATCCTTTGATTAATGGTGGAATATAAATAGTTTTGCAACTTACTATCAATATTTTTGAATTCGTTATTATCTTTTGATTATATCGTCAATTCTCAACCATTACGCCATGACCTACGTGTTCGGGTGCATACATGCGTACTTTTTTCCTTGTTGCATGCATGTACATTTTTTCCGTTCTTGGTGCATATATGGTTTTATTCTTTTTTGATTGATGCTCTATTACATTTCAACTTTCTGGTTTTTGTAGGATTTATTATCACTAATCGCTCTGATATTTTTTCTAGTAAAAGGCAATGAAATTAAATGCAACAAATCTAACTCAATTTGGCATTCAATCTGTAATATAAAATGGAAAGGAGTACTGTATGATATGACTATTTCTCAGCCTTGTGTTTCGGATACATTTCAGAGTTGATTAGAGTTGACAATAAAATCTAAACAAATAATTACTTTCTTCTCAACAATTTAACAATTTAGTTTCTGTTTGGCAAAATTTATAATCATTTATAAATAGTCAAACTTCATTTTCAACCACAATTGCCGATATTCCCACGAGCACTATCTATTTATCCACCACTCATTTCTATCTATAAACTAAACTGTTAATACATTCTTCCCATACAAAGGCTTGAGCTTTTTGATTGATATTTAGTATCGAAATAAAAGAATGTTTTTAGTCCAATTTTTCTAGCTCTGAGGGCTGAAGGGTCAAAACTTCATAGAGAAAATGAATTCAATTAGTCAAATTTATGGAAAACTGGAGTTTCAAAACAACAATTGGGCAACTCGAGACTAATTAATTCGGTATTTTGTGGCCTTTCAAGATGAAGTGTGTATAGGGCAAATTTGGACAATTTTCATCAAAATTTTCTAACATATATATTTGAATAAAAAAATGTCATAATGTTGTAACTATATCACGTGCTTTGCACCTATTACATCCTAGCACGTACATACTAGTAACAGAAATGCATCATAAACTAAAACATATGCAAAACTTATATTTCTTTAAGGCCCTGTCATATAAAGAGACGACTCACGTTTTAGGTCAGATTTAATGTTTATGACACACAGTGTCTCCATTTTACTGTACGATAGAATTTCCATTAAAATTGTTGTCTCTTGAGTCCTAGTAAAGCCTAAAGGGTTAAAGTGATAAAATTAAACAACATATTCAAGATTTCAGATATTCCTAATTAAGTCATATGAAACACCAACACTTCAAAAAACATATCTTTGTTATTTGTCGGATTTGTTCCTAGTATGATTGACTTTATAAGAGTTTCCAATTATAGAAAGCAATCATAACCAAAACACCATACACATGGAGCAATCTCGTCCCCGCCATCAATGATTCCAAAATGAAAGATATAATAAAACATTGAATAACTCACACTTGAAAAGGCACCATGAGCATATGCAAGACCTTCAAGTCTAATGGGAAATTTGACATCACAGGAGCCGACTATGTTTTGAATCTTGAAATCCTACAAGAAAAATGTAGGCATAACAGGAAACAGAATAGTGGAGAACAGAAGTGTCATTTCATAACTCATTGAGTGCCAGAGGTGTCTGTTTTACAGATCAACCCTCAAGAGCATATAATTACCTTAAATTTCGCAGGAAAACCAAGCTTTTGAATAATTCTGGCATACTGAAAAGAATAAGACGTGCATACAGGAGATACTTAATAATGCAAGAAAAAATTCATCTATAAAAAATTATGACATGGCAAATGGTCATATGCAACTAATTCAAATTCATAAAATTAGCAGAAAATCATCGGTCAACATAAAGGTTCTTTACACATCATTTTCAAATCCATCTAGTAAAGATTGAACTGAACCAGACAATATAAGAGCAATTAGAATGGACAAATTATTTCTTTCATATTATATTATACCTTCCGAGCTGCCAATTTTGACTGTTGTTCACTCTTGGCTCCTGTACAAACCTGAAGCAACATAAAAAATTGCTAATAAGGAAATTACCAAAAATGAGAAAGGCCTGTCTACTGCTACTCATTGGAAGACAGAATTCAACTGTGATTAAGATCAACAGAAGATGAACAAATGAGGAGATTCAAGATATACATCAAAATAAATCGGTATAAACATAACATAAATAGGCTATAAATAGAAATAAAGAAGAACATAGGGCACGGTTCAAACCATGCATAACATTATAAAGAAAATATTTAGCTCTTACCATCTTTCCAGAAGCAAAAATTAGTGCCGTTGTTTTGGGTTCTCTAATCCTCATGATCACGGCAGCAAAACGCTGAAAACCAAGAAACCCGTGTATTAACTATATGTAGTAAACTATATGATATTTTTCTTCCTTCAGCCATGCCCCTCGGAGAGAGAGAGACCAAATAGTTCTTTGGAGTGTTACATCTTTAAGTCAATAGGTTCACACCATCAACTTACACAAACATCTGTAAAATATGACACATAAGATGTTCCTATTGACAGTCCATGTGAAAGTGCATGTAAGATATTGCGGAAAATATGAAGCCCAAGATTTAGCTTCAAAAGGCCAGTTAACTTCAACCGTCAGTGCAGTAGAAGTTTTATAAAAAATCCCAGTTGATCATAAATGCTTGATTGCTTTATGTCATTTTCGGCATCTGGTGAATGTGAAGAAAGTAAGTATTGTGATTTGACCTACCTTACATATTGTATATACAAATCTCACTGATAAACTGACCTCCAATAAAGAATGATGTAAGGCAACCAAATATTGAGTATCACACATTTCATGATAAGAAAATGCATTGGTAATTGGTAAATAGATATATCTTCAGAGAGATGTTATAGGAGAACCAATTGTCCACGGAAATAGACTGAGAGGAGTGAATTATCAGCAGTTCGCAATGCAAGGCAGCTAAAAAAAATAATTGAAAACCAAAAGGGAAAGGTTAAAACTTAAAAGCCTTAGTTCCATAACCTAGAGAATTTGACATCGGATCTTAACAGAAGTTCTCTAGTTAAAAGAAAATAAAAAATGAAATCTATTCATTTTGTCCCTACTTTACAATTCACTAATGGCGCTCAAGGAAAGGTTTTCAAGTGTTTTATAATAGCCTCACATGAGGCAGGTAAGCCTCAAAAAGCTTTTCTAAATAATGGCCAAAAGCCTCCGTTCCATTACCTGAAGAATTTCAGTGGATCTTAATAAAATTCATTTTTATCCCAACTTTCTCTTTCAAGCGTTCACCCACCATTATGACAAAACAAGTTAATGTTGTTTATATGTTGTTAGCAAAGTCTGGAAGCCAAATATCAACCAAAAGTTATCTTTAGAAATCAAATCGTGCACAAACAAAAAGTCACGTAGCTAAGCCCATATTTGGCCAATGTTTATAAACGGTTTATAATCGCCCAAACCAATGGGACTCACGAGAACTACCTACTCATCCATCACTCATTTCTATCTGTTTACAGTTTAGACCATTACACTTCCCATACATGCTTTAAATTGACAAGTTGGTGTAAAAATAAACAAATAATTAAGCAGTAAAAATATAGCCAGCGATACTACTAGATATATCACATGAGGAAATAACACTAATGATCAATAAAGAAGTTAAAGGAGTATTATCATGTGAACAAAATACCTTGGGATTGTATTCCGCGTTACGAGCTTGCAATGCAATAGCTTTAAGATCCAACTTGCAGTCCAAATTGACTGTCGACACAATATTCCTGCATGTATAAAATCACCAGTATATTTTATTGTTAGAGCTTGACAAAATGACCTTCGAAATCCAGATGATTGCATTGACACCATTTCTTGAATTTTGAGTTCCTTTAACATAGAGTGCAATAATTTATACAGTTGTAGCAATAATTCACGTCAATGGCTTTGGTAAGCTAGAAATCAAAATCACGAACTGGCAAATGGGAAAAAGCTACTCTATACAAACTCTAATGCACGTTGGTTACAAGCATTCAATCTGTATTTACACGTAGTAAGCAGGTGCAATCCCCTTAAGTTGAGAGTGCTCGTAAAAACTTCAAAAGAAAAAAAATGGGAACTTTTTCATGGAACGGCTAGAACTTTAGAAGAAGACACATTTAATTTCCTAGAAACAAAATATACACTGTACACAAGCCTTTCCCTCAAATAGAGTTAACAAAGCCCATGCAGATTAAGAACCCTTCCGATTGTTGAGTTGATTTCTCCTGTCAAGTGGACTTGACTTCTGTAACTTAAAAACCCTCATTGTGTTGTCTGCCATGTATAAAGTGGCAAGGGCTTTTGTGGATTTAGTTATTCACTTGCGAGAGTTCCATTTTGGAAGCACCTAAACGGTAGTGCAATCTATATTTTCCGTGGCAGCCTCGTGTACATTAATACATACAGTTCATTTTGACCTCCCAAAAAACTAAAGGAATCCTCAATTTTTCACGTGTATTGTGAGAATCCATTAGTTTGATTCACAACTTCAACCGTGTAGAATCTGTGAAGGAATGCGCTAGCATTTCATGTTTATAAACGTGTGTACTGGCTAGTTTCTTCCATTGAAAACAAAGTTAAATAAACAACCCTCTTGACAACATTTTTTTTCTTTAACATATACACAAAGATTTCTGGAAACTGTACATCTACAGAAAGCATCTAACTTTAATATAATTATGAGCAAATGGAATGGAGTTAAGCATTTATGCCATACGCAAAATAAAACAGCAGAGGGAATAACGAAAATCAATCATCAATTGGAAATCTTACTGGAGTGTAGGGACAATTCCAGATGGATGCTTGGAGAGATCCACAGGTTGGCTCCCTTCCAACCCTTGAGTAGCCGCCATCAAATCAGTTGTTTTCTGTAGATCTTCCTTCTCCAATCACCCTTTACCGCCTCCTCAGAAAACCTTAATACTTTTTTTTTATATAGGATAACAGATAACACCAATCAATACAATCCTCAGAGAGAGCCCAGGAAAAAATAAATAAATAATCGCCTTTGACCCATCATTTTTAATTATCATTGTTTGCTCAGTTTAAATTATTACTACTACTACTATTATTATTATTTTTTTTTATGGATATGGTGACGAAATTGAATCTTTAATCAGAAAATCCATTTAATTAGATTTTTTTAAAAAAAAGTTATATCTAAGAGCTATAGAACACCGGAACAAATACGGCAAAGAAAATACTCGAATTTACTATCAAAATAAGCATAATTGTGTAGAAAAAACATGATTGAATATCGAAACCGAAAAAAGAAAGCCAAGAAAAAGAAAGATTTTAATAAAGAAGGTAAAAATCGGACCTTTTCCGATGAAAAAATGATAGATCTGTGGTTTGAATCGTCTGTATGTTCGTGTAATTCGATAAGAAACTGGTAGAGTAAGAATTAGAGCGGTAAGAATTTGAAATAGGAAGCTTTTATATGTATAATAAAAGGGATTTATAAAGAGGGAAGAGATAGGAAGAGAGCATATGAAGGGGAAAGACGCAATGAGAGAGAGATCTGGGAATGGGGATGTGAAGGGCTGATATCGGGATGTGATTTACCAAAACTGTCCTCTGGTTTGGACATGTAGTCAACGTTTTCTGGAGGGTATCTTGGTAATTTCAATTTTTGGTGAGGGCCAATGCTAATTACCAATTATTCGACGCGTGCCTCCTCCTTCTTTGCATTTCAAGTAACTGAACTTTCGTCTAAGTTGCAATTAGATCTTTAATTTTTCACTCTAATTGCAATTCAATCACTAAACTTCAATTTAGTGATTATCCAAGATTCTTTTTTTAAAAAAGGGGATTTCAAAACGAGGACATTGAATCCCTTAGGGCCCACTTGGGAGCTTTGGATGCCGATTGTAGGCATATTTTAAGGTATTGATTTTGAATGTTTACGAGTGTATTGATTTTGGGCGATTTTTAGTAAAGATTTTCAATCCAATCCATTCTTGAGAATTTATTATCATGGGGCGCTGAAAGTTTTTTTAAAGAATAAAATTACATAAATACCCCTTAGTGAAATTCCAATTTATAATTTTTTGAATGAATTTCTTTTTCTTATACTTAATTTTTTTTACATAGAAATTAATATTTTCACATAAAAAATTAAATACTTATAATTAAAACTTTTAAGTTAGTATTTTTACTTATAAGTATATTTCATATTTATAAGTTATTTTTATACTTTTAAATAATTTTTATATATAAGTAAATTTTTACTTATAAGTAACTTTTTTATATTTTATAAGTTAAATTTTGTCTTATTAATAATATTTTTACTTTATAAATAAAATTTTACATAAAAGTAAATTTTATCTTATAAGTAAATCTTTTAATTATAAAGTAA